AAAGGCTATCCTAATTACTTGATCAAACTATGGTTGTAGGATATTTGCTTTATGTGTAAGCTATCAGAAAGGTTGTTGTAATGCAACTGAATCTCTAAAGATGCAAGCCTGCGCATACGGGTAATAAGGACTGAATAAATCTTGCCCGATTCTGTGCTTTCCTCCTGTTTTCGGTAAAGTTAATTCGCTAATCGAGGGTATGCAGATCAAAATGGTGTGACCTTTTGTATGGTCGCAGTGTCTTTTCTTTGTATAGAAGTTGGTTGACTTTGTTTTCGCAACTTAGTAATATTGATGCTTTCCTCTCGGTCTTCTTGCCAATTCAAAAGCAAGGTCAAAGAACTTTTAATTCACAGATCCCTTTTACCTCCCTTTTGAAGCGATTTGGAGGATGGGCAAATATCGTCATATCTTGCTTACAAGTTTAAACCTGTACATTTTTCTAGCAGATTTACATGTTCACATTAGCGTTTTATAAGTTATTTAATTGCAATATAAATGAGTCACTTTTTCACTTTCGATTGTTTATTCATGATGTTAAGTTATCGTTTCGAAACAAAATCCTAAATTATACGGGAGTTTTCAGTAGTTTTCACAACTAATAATAAATCTTTTCTGGTTGCTTTTCGGCCTCTATCTCTAATAGCCAAGTTATTCATCACGAAAGGATGGTAAAGATTCATGTCTGACACGCATTGCTCTTTATCACTTTCTGTTGGAGTAATGATAACTTTGGCGATATTGAAGATGAAGTTGGTGGAAAATTCTTTTTGGGCGCCTGACATGTTACGATTCGAGGAGAAATTCACTCTCTCTTACCTTTGCCTTTCAAGGCTATTTCCCACTTTGTTTTATAAAAACAAAAAGGCAAGCAAGTATTGTACTCTTTGGTGAGTCAAATTTAGTTGATTCATCTTCGTTAAAGTATTGTTTATCGCTGCGAGAATACTGGACACATTGACTATGCAACGTCTATCTTCGGGGCCTATGACTTTTTAAACTTGGAAGACGCTTTAATAGCTAACGCACTTTTTTTATCTATCCTCGTTATTATCGTTATTCTAAAGAGACTCTTTCTGAATGTTTTGTTTCTTAAGGAATCTAGGAATGTTTTAGATAAGGAGATTTGTCAACCTCTGAGACGACACTTGGGTCCGACTCCATTCAGAGCTGCCCATTAGAACGAAAATAGATTTTAAAAATACTGTCCTCCCTGAATGAGAGCCCACCCTTTAGATACGCATAACAGATGAATTTCGGCGATAAAACTGGTTATCTCATTAAATTATTATCGAATCGTACTTTAAACTGTCTACAAACGGTTCACCTTTACTTATGGCACAAACTCCCTGATATTCTTGGTTTCTCTTTTATCCTGTACAGTGTATGCTTGTATTTATAATTTATTGCAGTGTGTAACTATAGCTTGAGCTAAAATTGCGCACGGTATGCCGATTGATCTGAAATGTTTTCCTTCACTATCTGCCTATTCTGGTTATTTTCGAGGTTTTTGCTGATCCCCCCTGTCTAAAGAAAAAGTCACTCCCAAAGCTGCGCTTGTTTGACATAGTTTTTGCGTATTTAGTCTCTTTTCCGTTCATATCCTGCATATTGCGTTTGTTGTATA